TTATTGTAGAGATGAGGTCTCGCCAAGTTGCCCAGGCGGGTCTCGAACCTACGGGCTCGGGCAGTCCACCCACCTTGGCCCCCAAAGCGCTGGGATTACAGACTGAGCCACCAAGCCTGGCCCATTTTATTTGTAGCAGTGAGGTGTCTCTATGTTGTGCAGGCTGGTCTCGAACTCCTGGGTCCAGGTGATCCTCCTGCCTCAGCTTCCCTAAGTGCTGGGATTATAGGAGTGAGCTACCATGTGTGGCCCACTTTCTTAATAATTGGGATAAACTTTCCGTTCACATAGTAGGGTTATTTCTAGTTAAGTTGTAATTTTTTTCCCCACTCTTAGCTTGGGATCCATGAGGATTCCACCAACCGGCGACGCCTGTCAGAACTACTGCGCTATCATACCTCCCAGTCAGGAGATGAGATGACTTCTCTGTCAGAGTATGTCTCTCGCATGAAGGAGACACAGAAGTCCATTTATTACATCACTGGTGCGTTGCAGCCTGGGTCTGATCAAAACTTCCTTGGAGGTTGGGGGAGGATGTTTAGGCCTATTTAGGAACTAGTGGTATGTGGCATTTTGGTCCCTGAGTTAACGTTTAATAACCCTAACCCTACAGGTGAGAGCAAAGAGCAGGTGGCCAACTCTGCATTTGTGGAGCGAGTACGGAAGCGGGGCTTTGAGGTTGTATATATGACAGAGCCTATTGATGAGTACTGCGTGCAGCAGCTCAAGGAGTTTGATGGCAAGAGCCTGGTCTCTGTTACCAAGGAGGGTCTGGAGCTGCCTGAGGATGAGGAGGAGAAGAAGAAAATGGAGGAGAGTAAGGCAAAGTTTGAGAACCTCTGCAAACTCATGAAAGAAATCTTGGATAAGAAAGTTGAGAAGGTGAGCCATTCTGGGAAGAGGACACGTTGTTTGTATTCCCTTGGGGTGGCCTTCCTCAGGAGCCCACTTGCTCCACAACTACTCGTTTTAGGCAGCCTGTTCTGTTTAGAGTAGACATTGCTTCAGCTACTTCTAAAAGTAGCATCTTCTAATAGCATCATTTTCACTTTTAAAGCAAATCTCAGGTTTTTGTGACTGTCCACAGGTGACAATCTCCAATAGGCTTGTGTCTTCACCCTGCTGCATTGTAACCAGCACCTACGGCTGGACAGCCAACATGGAGCGGATCATGAAAGCCCAGGCCCTTCGGGACAACTCGACGATGGGCTACATGATGGCCAAAAAGCACCTGGAGATCAACCCTGACCACCCCATTGTGGAGACGCTGCGGCAGAAGGCAGAAGCGGACAAGAACGACAAGGCCGTCAAGGACCTGGTTGTGCTGCTGTTCGAAACTGCGCTGCTCTCCTCCGGCTTCTCCCTTGAGGATCCCCAGACACACTCCAATCGCATCTACCGCATGATCAAGCTGGGCCTGGGTGAGTGAGTTGCCTTGGGGCAAGGCGTGGCAGTAGTCTTCTGGACAGATGGGGTTTGCTGCTACTTGGTCCCTTCTAATGTGGCTCTCTTTTAATGTAGGCATTGATGAAGATGAAGTGACAGCTGAGGAGCCCAGTGCTGCTGTTCCCGATGAGATCCCCCCTCTCGAGGGTGAGGAGGATGCATCTCGCATGGAAGAAGTAGATTAGAAGTTTCTGTCTTTTGTGCTCTGTATAGTGTCCCCATGGCTCCCACAGCAGCCTTGAGTGGCCCTGTCCCACTTGGCTCCCTCTGCTGTCTAGTGTTTTTTCTCCTGGTTTAAGGCAGGAAAAATGGGCCTCATTCCCTCTGACAACAAGATTGGATGTCGTGTGTTGTGGTTTTTTTGTTTATCTTGTTCTGAAATTAAAGTATGTGAAATAAAGAAATGCCATTTTATACAGTTCTGCACTCCCTTGTAAAGTGGATGTAAATGCTGCCTTTCCGTGGCTTCTGATCTGAGCTCTCATTTTGCTGTTCAGCTGAGTTGGTTTTCTGGGTTATAGGTACAATTTGTAGAGAAGACTCAACTGGTATTATGTAGCTACCGAAAAACCCCACACAGTGAAGTGTAATATTAATGCCCCTCAGTCAGCCAAACAGAGGACCAAGTCCATTGCAGCAATTTAATTTAATAAAATAAAATTATAAGAGCAAAAAGTTACATTTCCAAAGTACCAAAACCTGCAGTGGGCTCTTGGAGCAGAGCCTAGGAGGGATCCAGTACCCGGGTGACACCGCGCTGCGTGGCTCTGTCCCCTTCCTCAGCATGGCACCACTGGCACCTGGGGAAGCAGCATTGGAGCCTACACCGCTTGTGCTTTTCTCACCTTGGCAGAGGAGGTACAGGGATCTGCCAAGGAGGCCTCAGGTGGCAGAGCTAACAGGGCAAGACTTCAGGGAATTGCCCTTTTCCCTCAACTCCTTGCAGCCCGTCATGATTGTCCTGGGGCTCCAAGAACCTGCCTGCTGAAGATGGGTGACTTAAGGCAAAGGGGAACGCTGCCTGCTGGGCTCCCCATCTCCAGCTGCAGAGCTGGTCTGTGATACTGAGAAAACACCTGCGTTTTGCCCTTGAGTCAGTGCCTCTTGAGAAGTCACAGCAGGAGGAACCCATTTCATTTCATCCCTCAGACCCCCTCCACTCCCCTCAAACCTTCTGCACAGGGGACTCCATAGGCACAGGCTTCTTCCCTCGTTGCTTTAGACGACCCCGGGCGTAGACTCGGAGCAGGAGGGCAGCAAAGACCACAGCCACCCCCAGCCCTCCCACCACAGTGACAGTGTGGCCATAGAGGAGGCAGGAAAGGAGGATGGCGAAGGCCTGGCGGAGGGTCATGATGATGGTGAAGACAGCGGCCCCAAACTGCCCAATGGTGTAGAAGATGAAGAGCTGGCCACAAGCGGAGCAGATAGAGAGCAGCAGGGCGTGGGCAGCAAACTCACTGTGTCGCCCCATGAAGCGGGTCCCCTCCAGGAGGGCCCCCTGCTCCAGCAGTGAGCCTACTGTGAAGAGGCAGGAGAAGAGATTGACCCCAAACATCATCTGCACTGATGACATCTTATAGGAAAACAGGGCATCCTGCCAGTTTGAGGTGAAGCTGTCAAAAGCAATGTAGCCAGCCAATAAGATAAGGCCTGAGAGGGTGGTGGCTGGGGAGCTGCGCGGTTCTGGTCCGCTGGACAGCAGAAACATGCTGACCCCAATGGAGATAAGGCCAGCTGTCAGGTACTCCCAGTGTTCGTAGCTGCGCCGAGACACCAGCTTTCCCATCAGCATGACGGGGATCACCTTGGAGGCCTTGGCCAGCACCTGCGTCGGGAAGCTGACGAACTTGAGAGCTTCATATTGGCACCAGCTGCTAAGCACGTTTGACAGGCTGGCGAAGGAGTACCGGTACATGGGTGCACCATGCCGGGGCTGCTTGCAGAGAACACAGGAGAGGCCAGCCACAATCAGTGCCAGCACTCGGTTCATTAGCACCAGGAACTGAGAGTCCGTGAAGCGCTCACCTGGTGATGTGGCCGTGGCCCCGTAGCTGCGGGTCATGACTCGTTCCTGCAGCACACCCCAAGTCAGGTAAGACACCTGGGTGGGGGAGGGTGGAGATCAGAGACCATAAGAAGGAGGCAGATAGATCTCTTCTTCCTCAGGAGGATGTCTGACTAAATGACTTCACGTCACAGATGCTTTTTGGTTCCTCTGTAGAAGTTTCCTCTCCTCCCAAGCCTAGATTTACTTGTAGGGAATCAAGCATCTGTGAAAAACCTAAAGGCTTTAGGACTGTCCAGGCCCTGTCTGTCCCCACAGTTATGGGTGTGTTAGAGCTGACGCCAACCAAAGTACTTTCCTATCCACTTCAACCAATTCAGGGAGGCAAGAACTCAGAGAGGGTATGATACCTGTAGTTCTAACATGGCATACAAGGTGGGGCTGTACTGACTTCCAAATGCCACGTGGTCAGCATCTTAGCTGCCTCATCACATGCAGTACTGGGGCAAGGCTGGATGGCTCCCCCAAACTTCATCAGTGGGTTTGCAGTGTGTGAGGCACATGAGTGCAGGCAGGAAGTATGATAACGGCACAGTAAAATCACAGATAAGGCGGTAAGAGAGGCCCCTCTTCTGCACTGAGCACATGGAATAGCGGCATATAGTTAACTTCAGGTACCAGTGTTGGAGAGAGGAGGAAAGAAAAGACAATATTTCCCCCGAACTTCTCCAAGATGGTGGTGCAGTGTTTCCCAGAAGGGGGGACACCTAACACTGCAAACCTCTGGGACTGGGAGGATGGAAACTCAGTTTGAGTCCCTGCCTCCGCGACCCAACCCAGAAGAAAAGCAGAGCCGCATAGCCGGCCTACCCACCTGGAGCCCCGTGGCACAGAATAGCAGCTTCAGGGCCTGCCACACGGGGGTGGTCTCTGCCGTCTCTGTCCGGGGAGCCAAAGGAACCTCGTCAGAGGCCTTGGGCTCATTGCCAAACACACAAGCTTTCACCAGGGGAAAGCAGAGACCCCTGCCTGGAGAAGACACACAACTTGTCAAGCCCCAAATCTGCTCCACAGCACCTCGTGTTCCCAGCCAGCCCGCCCTGCAGTCCAGTCTGAGGCCTCCCGCCCGCCCGCCCTCTCCGAGTCACATCCCCTTTGGACTGCAGGCCAACACCTGCAATCCCGACCTAGCCCACTTCCACCGTCCTTGCTCCACACACCTGTCTCCAGGTAGTTCTTCCGCCTGAAGTACTGCACCAGGAGGAAGCCAGGTACCATGAAGCTGGCATAGCCAGCGGCATTCACCAAAAAGCGGAAGAACCAGAGCTGGGTCCATGACTCCGGAGGGGCTTCGGGAGTGTCCCCGCCTGCCCCCAGGGAGGGGAGCGCAGCCAGCACCACCACTGCCCACCACCTGCAGGGACGACGGACATCAGGATTAGGGTGCAGTTCCTCACCTCAACCCCTCGGCCCTCCAGAGGGGGCCGCACTGAAGAAGGGCCCGGAGCCGCCTCCCCGCCCCCTCTGCAGCAGCCCAGCCTGGACAAAGAGCCTCTCTCTCTCTGGGGGGCCGGCGCTGGCGGGGCAGGGTTTCCTCCCTCCCCGGGGGC